TATTGTAAGTGATTTTATAACAAACTCACAACAAAACTTTACTTACTTAATGTTTTTTTGTAGGTACAAGTAAAAGAATCCTTCCTCGCAAAAAAAGAATCCGTTAATTGCCCTCAAAATAGTTATTGCAGCTATAAACGATCATCTACGCCGATTGTAGAAAATCGGGAATCGTATTTTTATTTTGAAAGAAAGTATTTATCTCCAACATATGACAAATGGGTAAAGTATCTTGAGCGTCCACCCAACTTCATAAAATTACGAGGGCGGGAAATTCCACCCAAAGGAATAATTTCGGGAAATTTAATAGAATTTTCCGCAAAAAACGAAAAAAAGGAATCTAAACCGCCGCTTAAGAAAGTTGAAAAAAACTTGGATGATAAAGAACCGACATTGAAAAAATCTGAAGATGTTAAAAAAATATCGGTGAAAAAAAATAAAATCAGCAAACCAACAAATGAGGAAGATCTGATTAAACAATTTGACCAGTGCAGTATAGGAAAAAAAGTAATTTCTAGTTATGATAGTACCTGTATGAGAGTTATAAATAAAATTTTTACAAAAAATAAAATCATTACATGTTACAATGGCCACCCTTATTGTCTTTGCAAAAATGCTGCTAATTTTATTGTTAAAAGAGCATCTGATGTTGGTCTAAAAAGGCAAAGTTCTGTTAAAAATAATATTCCGGATATACTTATTGACATAATTTAATGCAAATGCAAATAGCATTGTCATCAATAGCAGGAAAGCTTAAATACCTAATTGTTGAATTTAAAAATTATAACTTGTACATGTTATTATTTATATTTTTATTTAGCAATAATAAATTGTATATAAATTTAAAATAAGTTTTATTTAAGAATTCAGAAGCGATACCTTCTACAAACATATAAGCCCTTAATATTCATATTAAACCTTGCCACAAAGACGATACATTTCCTATTTAAATAACATGGGATTTCGGCACGTTTTAAATTTAAATTTTTTTCTCCCGAGCAATTCACTTAAGTGAATATACAGCAATAAGAGAGACATATTTTTCTAGTAAATTGAACGCTGAACATTTTTTGATAAATTCACTGGTTTAAAAGTTATAACAGCAGTAAAAAAATCGAACAAATTACTTTAAGTTCAACTTTAACCTTAAATATATTTAAGGTTCCCAAGCAACATTTTTGGTTCCAAAAACCATTGCCAAAGTGGTGATAACTTTAAATTAGTTAATTATACTAAACAGCTACTTTAATTTTTACTTAAAAGTAATTCTAACTTTTAAATAGCAATATTTTGTAACAGAAACTTAATTTTTCCTTAAATTGTTACTATAAAGTAATAAACATTAAAGTAAAACTTGGTTGCCCCCAAGAAGACTTTGCAACTTTAAAAAAGATGTTATAAGTAAAAAAAACTTTCAAGTAAATTTAATTTGTAGCAGTTACTTTCGGTTGCTACCTAAAGATTACATTATAATTATTTTTACTTTGTAGTCCCTTTGCAAGTTAAAATCTCGAAACTGGAACATGAGTTAAAAACTACAAAGTTAATAACTTAAAAGTTATTATTTTAGTATTTGGAACGTTTATGGTACTAACCAAAACAACCGTAAAGTGGAAAAAAACTTTAAAGTAGCGAAAACTACTTCAAAGGAAAATGCTTCTTATCGGCCATTTTTTACTGTACAGTACCACGTGGTAATGTAAATAATAAATTATTTTAATTGTTTGTAAATGGTTGTTTACTTTTTAATAAATAGAAATATTGTTGGTAATAGACGGTATTAATAATTAAATAAAAAAAATAATAATAAATATTAAGATTTTTTTATTTATAAACATTACTAAATAAATAATTTGTTTATACTTAAATATTGATGAAGCGCATTTATTTTACAAAAACTAAATTCATAAGTTCAACAGTAAAATTTAAAGGGTTTATAAATCTACCTGTCTAATTAAATATTAGTTATATATATTGTTATTCTGGAAGTTATAAACTACCAGTACATATTTAATAAACGACGACATTGAAAAGCCAAGTCCGTAGTGGTTCCATTTAAAAAAGGAGGGATAGTATAATCTAATATAAGTTTGACAAAGACAGTTAATATAGAAGTAAAAACAAATAATAAAAGTAATTATAACGCTCTAGCAACGATATTGGAACGTTCTAGTAACGTAGCAGCTACGTCCCAAATAGTAGCAGGGTTGGTAGCTAGTGACATATTTGCTACCTTTTTGGAACTCAATAATTGTTCCCCACTTTAGTCGTAACGTAGTAATGAAAGAGTAATATAAAGAGACCGGCGACTGTCTCAAAACACTTTGAAGTTTCTTCAATAGTCCCATATACGTAACAAATACTTAAATTGTTGCTTGGGTTAAAGTTGAACTTAAAGTAATTTGTTCGATTTTTTTTCTGCTGACTACAAAATTATCATTGTTTTTATTGTATTAGGTATTGAAAATGTAAAAATTATTAAAAAAAGATAATTAAAGGAATCTGGTACTAGTTTTACTCAATTTTAGTACGATTACTTTTTTTACATAATCTTTTTATTTCTTTTATATAGGTAATAGTATATTATGAATCAAGTTTTTGATTTCAATTTTGTCTTTCGTGTGTAACGCTCGATGAAAAAGTTTGAAAAATAGCTGACTTTGACTCAGGAGGGACAAAATTGGATTCCGGGAATGGAAATATATATTGTGAGACATGTGAGTTTTCCAATCTGGAATTATCCACTAATTCTCGTGTACAAATCACAAAATACCTCGCTAAAAGGTCAAAGCTTGCGATATTGTCCAAAGATACAGGAATATTCCTGTATCTTTGGACAATATCGCAAGCTTTGACCTTTTAGCGAGGTATTTTGTGATTTGTACACGAGAATTAGTGGATAATTCCAGATTGGAAAACTCACATGTCTCACTTGTTTCTGGTCAAAATAGTACATTGAAACCGAGACCATTAAGGCTTTTTGGCACCAAGAAAGAAGAAGAAGAGTATAAAGTTTTATAAACGCCATTTTAGTTGCAAGTTTTATTAGACACGAGCGATGCCCTCGAGCGAGTGTTTAATAAAAACGAGTGTCTAGAGAAGTTTATAAAACGAGTTTTATACCTATCTACGACGAAAAGAATAAGGAATTTAAAGCCAATTTTAATTTAAAAATATGTGACATTTGACAAAGCTGGTAAATTTGTCCACTTCTGGCAAATAAGTAGTGGTCATCATAGAAAAAGGATATCATTGTAGAGGAAGATCATTCACACATATAAACACTTCAAAAGTGGTAAAAGACCATTATTTTCCCAAGCAGCATTTTTGGTTCCAAAAACCATTGCCAAAGTGGTGATAACTTTAAATTAGTTAATTATACTAAACAGCTACTTTAATTTTTACTTAAAAGTAACTCTAACTTTTAAATAGCAATATTTTGTAACAGAAACTTAATTTTTCCTTAAATGGTTACTATAAAGTAATAAACATTTAAGTAAAACTTGGTTGCCCCCAAGAAGACTTTGCAACTTTAAAAAAGGTGTTATAAGTAAAAAAAACTTTAAAGTAAATTTAATTTGTAGCAGTTACTTTCTGTTGCTATCTAAAATTACATTATAATTATTTTTACTTTGTAGTCCCTTTGCAAGTTAAAATCTCGAAACTGGAACATGAGTTAAAAACTACAAAGTTAATAACTTAAAAGTTATTATTTTAGTATTTGGAACGTTTATGGTACTAACCAAAACAACCGTAAAGTGGAAAAAAACTTTAAAGTAGCGAAAATTACTTCAAAGGAAAATGCTTCTTATCGGCCATTTTTTACTGTACAGTACCACGTGGTAATGTAAATAATAAATTATTTTAATTGTTTGTAAATGGTTGTTTAAACAGTAATTACTTTTTAATAAATAGTAATTTTGTTGGTAATAGACGGTATTAATAATTAAATAAAAAAAATAATAATAAATATTAAGATTTTTTTATTTATAAACATTACTAAATAAATAATTTGTTTATACTTAAATATTGATGAAGCGCATTTATTTTACAAAAACTAAATTCATAAGTTCAACAGTAAAATTTAAAGGGTTTATAAATTTACCTGTCTAATTAAACATAATATTGTTATTCTGGAAGTTATAAACTACCAGTACATATTTAATAAACGACGACATTGAAAAGCCAAGTCCGTAGTGGTTCCATTTAAAAAAGGAGGGATATATCCCATATATATAATCTAATATAAGTTTGACAAAGACAGTTAATATAGAAGTAAAAACAAATAATAAAAGTAATTATAACGCTCTAGCAACGATATTGGAACGTTCTAGTAACGTAGCAGCTACGTTCCAAATAGTAGCAGGGTTTATAGCTATAGTGACATATTTGCTACCTTTTTGGAACTCAATAATTGTTCCCCACTTAAGTGTCGTAACTTAGTAATGAAAGAGTAATATAAAGAGACCGGCGACTGTCGCAAAACACTTTAAAGTTTCTTCAATAGTCCCATATACATAACAAATACTTAAATTGTTGCTTGGGTTAAATGGGACTTAAAAATAATGGTAAATTATTTATTTTATATTTATCATTTATATGGACTGAGATAGTATTTTACTGTCTCAATTATGTTTTAGTAATATTTATATAAATATATATTAAAAAATATTTTAATTATAAATTTTCACTTATGACCTAATAATGAATATATTTAAATTTAAATGTATTTTAAGGCCCATTTTAAATTTTGGATAACAAAATTAAATCAATGCGTTGTATTGTATAAAAACAAATTAAATCTAAAATTGTTCCATTTCTCCTAAATTTTTTAGATAATGTAATATTAAAGCGACATTTTTCGTTTAAGCATTGGTGCTCGTACGGAAAATTTGACGATTTTTTTTTTAATTGGGTGGATTGGGCGTTATTTTTTTGAATTTTCCGCTACTTTTTATTTTCAAAAGCTGGCAACCCTGCTTATGTTCTGTGCTTCCTTGTCTTTGCTCCATGGTTCTTTGAGGACTCAAATGTCAAAATTGTGATGTCAAAAGCCTAGTGTTCAAGGATTGAACTTCAATCCTTTTTCTATGGTTCAAAGCTTTATAATCTGTGCCAGGGTTTGTTCTGTGAAAAGAAAAGAAAATTGTTAATTTTTGGCTTGAAACCAAAGTTGAGGAAGAAGAAAATATTAATTTTTGTAAATCTTTCTATTTTACATATTTAGTGTTTACAATGTAAACTTTACATGCCTGCTTTTTTAAAAAGTGGAAATTAGGTATCCTTTTAAGACTAAATAATAAAGTTAAGAAATAATAAGGTTATGTTTCCTAATAATTTATACAGACATTATGATTGGAGAAAGATTGCAAAAAAATTTAGAAGGAAAAGAATAAGGCAGTCTATAGCAAAAAAAAGGGATGAACTTCTTGAAAAAGGTATTTAACTCAAATTAAATTATTAAATAAAAAAACAGGTATTTTAGAGCAAAATGAGCAAAATAAATCTCCGACATATCAGGCTTGGTTGGAAGAGGAGGCAAAAAGAAAACAATTTGAAATTGAAGAGGAAAATAGAATAAGACGAGAACAAGAAGACAATTGGTGTAGAATTGAAGTTGAAGCCCAAAGACAATGGAGAGCATTACAAGTAAAATTAGCTGAAGCAAGGGAAGAAAGAGCTAAACAAAATGCAAAAATTAAGCTAGAATGGGAACAGGAACAAAAAAAATTACAAGAACTAAAGGAACAAAAAGAAAAGGAACTGCTTGAAAAGAAAAAATTACAAGAGCAGCAAACTAAAGAAATTGATGATTTTTTGATTTCTGGAGGAGAAACTCCAGAGCATCTTAAAGTGACCCTTGAAACAAATCCAAATAAACCCATATGTCCATTTTTTCAAAAAACATCTGCGTGCAGGTTTTTCGATGCCTGCTCCAGAAACCACATAAGGCCTGGGGTAAGCCACATAATTGTAATTCCCAATTTTTACACACATTACAGTCTTGAAAAAACATCAGAAAATGAACATGGCAGTGATAATAGTTTAGAATTTGAAAAGCATGAAACTTATAACCATTTCAAAGAGTTTTTTTATGATGTCGTATATGAAATGGAAAAATATGGAAGAATATTGATTTTTCATGTTTGCTGTAATCATGAGTCCCACCTAAGAGGTAATGTTTTTGTGGAATATGAAACTACAAGATCTGCTTTAAAAAGCTTTAAAACCTTCAATGGTAGATGGTATGGAGGAAAGCAATTAAATGTTGAGTTTTGTGCTTTCGAGTCTTGGAAAAAGGCCATTTGTGGTATGTATAATAAAAAATAATACAGGGTATTTGCTTCTTTTTAACATACTGTTTTTACATATTTATTATAGCCTTATAATCCAAACATATTAAATCTTAAAATAAACTTAATTTCAAAGAGCCAAGACCAAAGTAAATGCTTCAAATACATAAAAAATAATTTAGGACTCGTTTACAAAATCTAAATATAAAAAAAAACAAAAGTCAATGTCTTAAATCATAATCGTTAAAATCTACAGGTTTTCAGTAACTTTTAATATTTTAGGTCTACATTTTTCAAACAGATGTCCCAAAGGAAGTGCATGTAATTTTCTTCATGTCTTTAGAAATCCCAAAAATTTGTATAGTTATGATTTTTTCAAAAGGGAACAAGAAAAAACTGACAAGTACCTACAATTTAACTAAAAATATGCAAAATATTAAAATTCTGTCTTTTTTAGTGAATTAAACAAAAAAAAATATTGGAGATGGTCGGAATCACCAGAAAGAATAACAGATCCCAATAAACATTCCAGTAAAAGATCTAGGTCTAGGAAAATAAGACATTCTAGATCAAGAAGTAGACGAAAAAGATCTAGGTCTAGGAGTACTAAAAGTAGATCATCCAGAAGTTATAGAAGCAATAGCTCTAAAAGAAGATCCTAAATGTGTAACACTGCAACAAAAAATTAGCTGGGTTTGGACCAGTACCTATTAAAAAAAATGAATTATGTATTCTAGGATTTTTTATATTAGCTCTATGTATTATTTAGTTTTGACTTCACATTAAATACTAAAGTAAGTATAATATATTAAAATCGTTTATCGGTCATTTTTTCAATATTACCATTGTTTATATTCAAAAACATTTATTAAAATTAAAAATAAAAAAAATATAAAAAATAGGCCAATATGAAAAAATCCCGAAACACATACATAGGTATTCATTTTTTTGTAATATGTATTGATTTTTGCAGGTCCCAATCCAGCTTTTTATTCATTAATATTTTTAATTATTTTTCATTTAATTTTGTTGCACAGTGTAATTATAATTAAAATGGCAATTAATAAAAAATTTAATAATTATTTTTTTTAAGTTCATACAATTAAAATTATGGGTAGGTACTACCGTACCTTCCCATTTTATTTAATGTGGGAAAATAAAATTTCAGGAAAACTAAGCGAATAAGTGGTTTTTCTAATAAAATATAATTTCTGTGATTCTATTTAGGTTAGTGATACTACACTAAAGAAGTAAATGATTTTTTAAAATTTGTATTGCTTTATTTTTATTTTTTTACAGTTTGATATACACTGGCGAGCAAAAAATTTAGGTCACATTAAAAATGTTATATATTTTTTAAATTCTCAATTTTAAGATTTTATTTTCCAATTGTAAATTATCGCAATGTATTTTGTAAGCTTACTTTAATATTGAATATTTATTTAAAACATCTTATTTTCACTTTTATGATTTATTAAAAAATTTACTAATTGCTTTTGGAGAAGAAAAATTTAACAAAATTGATTTTTTTCATTACAGCGCCATCTATTACAAATATGAAAAAATGTTTTAGACAAAATCTACCTATTTTTAGTCGAATGATCCGAATCTGCAATAAAAAATAGGGTGTTCCATTGGAAATTTTAAATTTACCCCCTGTTCCCCCTATAAGGAGGAGAGTATGAGAAACAATTTTAGTACTGATTGATTTCCCCCCTCGAATCGTTTATTTTTTATTTTAAACATTTTTTCGTAAAATGCATACTGAGATTCAAGTTAAATGACTCACCCAGTATATATATACAGTGTGACCCATTTGTCTGCGACTCACCCCTGTAAAATCTTTATTTATTGTGCGATTTTAACCGGATTTGTTTTAAAGTGTAGATCTTGATAAACTGTATTTTTGGAGCAAAAGACGCCATATTAATACAAAATACAATGTCAGTTTTTAAGAGGAAATTTTTAAGAATTCATATTAGCGATTTTTTTAAACAAAATATAAGCACGGCACTGGATTCACCACCCCTCAAAACTATCCTATACTAAATTTTATTGAAAAATTTTAAGAAAAAAAATGCACAAAAATAACTACAAAAATTTATTTTGTCAAGTTATCCATGAAAAAAACATTCAAATAAAATTAAACTAATATTAACATGGTACCTACTACTATTTATCTGCATAAAGTACTTTACTCAGTAAAGTTTACTGCCGATTTAATACGAGTATTGTATGCAACCAATTATACATTTTAAGATGTGTCTACTGCTCCTCAGCAGCAACTAAATAATATTTTAAAAAAGCACCGTCGTGGAGGTAAAATAAAAAACTTTCTGAGCATAGTTTGACAGATTAAATTTATAGGTTGAGTGATATACGTCTAGATTATTTCTCGAATTAAAGGAAACTATTTGACAATTCATAAAATCTGACGTATGTGTCAAAATTTATAAATATTTTTTTAAAGAAAATTCCATTAATTTAAGGTATGTAATAAGTAATAATTGATATTTCGTAAACTAGATAACTTATTTTTTATTGTTTTTTAAAAAATGTTTGTTAAAACTTGTAAATAACACCATAAAATCGTAAACAAAAATCCAATATGGAGGCTAAAATTTAATCGCTGTTAAATATCCCTTATTTAAACGAAATTTATTCGAAAATTTAAGGCTTTTGATTGGTTCATATTATAATGAGGGAAATAATCATGTTTAAAAGTAAGACGTCATATTATGACGGTCATAACAAATTATTGAGCGTTTGTGATGACGTTATATTTATTTAAAGCGTAGTTAGGTATTTATATTTACTAAATATAACAATTAAATTGGCTAATTAAGAAAATATGTCAAGCTTATATTATGTGTATAAAAACATCATAAACGAGGTTCAACAACTGTTCTGTAACTTTAAATATAATCGAAGTACCTACTTGAATTGAAAATAACTGAAATAATTGGAAGTGCGCCAAAACGCGCGAATAAATTATTAAGCCAGAGCTTTCTGCGGATATTTGCTTCATAGATTATCTCAATCGATGTATTCGTTCGCTTTGGCAATACGATTCATAGATGATACGATTTCTGACGTTCGACCAACACGTGGTTACAGTAACAGCGATTCCCCGAATTTAATAAAACGGAAGATAATTTGAATAATATTCGTATCTTCTGTGATTCGCATTGCGCCGATGGTACGATCGAGGACGACTACGTCAGTTCAAGTCGATCAAACTTAACCTGTGCGATAAATCTAATTTTTGTTTATCGAGGAATAAATTAATTAAATGGTCACAGGTGGAATGGGAGAAAGGGATTGGCGTCCTTTTGTATATGGAGGTCTTGCTAGTTGTGTTGCAGAATTTGGTAAGTGACATAACCTATACACAAACGGAATTACTAAATTAAAAGAAAGTACGTTACAGAACAACAAGTATTAATTTACCAAATAGTTTATTTATGGTTTTAAATACCTTATAAATTTTTTATACTCGATTTATTGAGAAGTTATTTAAAACATTGAGGTTATGTTTAAAAATTCTTAAAAATTATCTAGGTAGGTAGTTGGTAGTTTTTTATTTGTTTGTTTTATTATTTATTTTATGTTTTGTGAATGAATTCGTTTATTCTAATACAAGGTGGGCCAAAAAGAATCAACCTACATTTGCTTTGGTTATATATTTTTTGAAATAAAAAACAGATGATTACTTTTATAGTATTTTTATTTGAACCTTTAGGTTTTAGGCTTTGTTATCTATGGTTTTGTCTAACTTTAAAAAATTGTAGCCACCTCCGATGGAGTGATACATTTTGGCCCACCTTCTATAGGTACATAAAGAGAATTTGGGCATTTTTCTAATATTTTATTAAAAAGTCAAAAAAACTCAAAACTGATAAAATATAATGCTCTAAAAATTCGCTAAAGGTGAACCTTGGTATATAGATATTTTTTCCATTAAATTGTTATTTTTGCAAAAAAACTGAATGTTATTATTTGTTACAGGAACATTTCCAATAGACGTAACTAAAACCCGTCTTCAAGTGCAGGGGCAAATTTTGGACAAGCAGCATGCTAAACTAAAGTATAATGGAATGATTGATTGCTTTCTTAAGATTGCTAAACAAGAAGGTTTTGCCTCATTGTATTCAGGGTGAGTTATAGTAAATAATGTTTTTGCTAAAAATTTGCCAATATTTTATCTAAACATTATTAAAGTTCATGACCTATGTTTTGTAGTTCACATAAGGTCATGGACTTTCCTAATGCTTTGTTTAATTTATTATATTATCAAATCAAGCAATTTTACAAATAAGGAGTATTTTTACTTTTGGTTAAATATAAAATATTAAATGTGTAATGCATTACACATTTAATAACTTAAAACTCTACCGTGACATACCCTTTATGTTATCTACATTAGACTGGGCCAAAAAAATCAATCATTTTTTTTGCAAAGTAGGTATATCAAAAATATTGTTTGGGATGACATAAAAAAAATTGTGTCCATAATATTAATATTAAGAGCAATTTTAGATTTTTTTTCCTGAGCGAGTTTTTGTGTCAGAACTCAAATCATTTAGTTTAACAAAATTGACTTAAGAATATTTTTTGACGAAAATAGAATTCTCTACAAAAAAGGTTGGATTGGAATTTCCCGTTTTCTTACCATCATGCCTTAAAAATTGGTATAGTTTTACAATTTGATCTTTTAACTCTGGAATTTTGTAATTCATGTAAAAATCAGTACCCGGAAAAAAAACCGATAGATATTCTTATGGGAAATCAAATGCTCTTCAAAAAATTTTTTTACATCAAAAGTTATTATTTCTGCTCTAGATTTTTTTTTTGGGTCACTTAAAAACTTGGATTCTTTTATCGATGATAATCTTTATGTTATTGATAAAATTACTAAAAATTAAAAAAAAATAACACATTAGAATTTTTTTGCTTTAGGAAGCTATTTTCTTTAGAAAATATTATTTTCACTGTTACCTATTTGGAAATTGTTAATTAGTTATATAATACACATTTATAAAGTAAAAAATCAAATTATCACCCATAAAAAAATAAATGTACAGAGAAAAAACAAGAATTTCGTTTTGACTTCAACTTTAACTTTGAATAACTTTTGATTGAGTGAATGTAGCCAAAAATGTTAAGAGGTTTTTTTTGTAAAGCATTTGATTTCCCATAAGAATATTTATCGGTTTTTTTATAGGTACTGATTTTTACATGAGTTACAAAATTCCAAAGTTAAAAGATCAAAATGTAAAACTATAGCAATTTTTAAGGCATGATTTTAAGGAAACGGTTCATCTGACAGAAAATTTTAATTTAAGCTTTTTTGAAGAGCATTTAATTTTCTTAAAAAAATATTTAAATTTTGATAAACTCAATTTTTTTTGGTCACCCCAAACCATATTTTCGATATACTAAAAAATAGTTGATTTTTTTGGCCCAGTCTAATCTACATGCTCCAATATTTTTTATATCAAAAGCTCCCCTGTAATAAAAATAAACATTTCTATGATAATCTTTACTTTATAAGTAACATGACGTCAAACATTATTTTTAGAATATTGTGTTATCCAATTTTTAACATAAAAACTCATTTAAAATGAATAGTCTTATAATTTTAATTTAAATTATCAGGCTTAAATAAGTTATCTAAATTAAATATTCTTAATAGGTCTAAAGCTGGGTTCTAACAGATAAATATCGTAATATAATTTAATTTAACTTGCATTTTACGCGTTTAAAATAACCCAGTTTTAGTCAAATTTTTTGATTGGCTTAAAGTTTATAAATACTTTTTAGTCCCTAGTGTATAATCCTTCACTTTAGTAACGAGTGTTGGCGACAATAACGTTTAAATTAGAAGATGAAATTTTTTTTTTCAGTTCTGTACTTTGTGCCAATATTTTATTAGATCATATTTACATAAAAATGCTATTTCAGTTAAATAAATTTGCAAAATTACTTTATCAAAGAAAATATTTTTATTTTAAAAATAAAAATGCTCGAAAATTTGCCAAGTAAACAGATGCTATTTCATCATATACAGGGTGTCACCAAATACGAGGTATACTATACTTTTTCTACAACGAACACAAAAAAGAATTTAAAGCCAATTTTAATTGTTAAACATTTGACATCCGACGAATTTTACCTAACTTTTTTGCAATTTATAATAAAGCTTCAGCCAGTGACTAGAATTCCCAAAAGACACTATTGCTAACTTCAGCCCGTGACTAAACGCCATAAACTCAGAGCTTGTCAATGTGGGAGTAAATAAAATAAATTATCCATTAAATATGCACACACACAATGTCAATGTCAGTGTCAGTTTACCATTTCAAATTATACAATTTTTAATAAAACAGTTTTGTGACATTCTTGAATGACAGGAATTGTATTGATCAATATTTTGAACATTAATTAACATTTTAATTTGAAAATAAGTGGATTACTGTTATGTTATGTTTCTCTTTTACAATTAAAAATGTTAAAGATAAAACTAAGACTTACCTTCATTTTTTTTCTGGATATATAGTATACCACTTTACTAAAAAGTTTTAGGCCTTGGAGTTGCATCTTTTTTTGAATGGGTCTTTAATATTGCAAATCGTATTTTTTAATAGGAAATATCTTAGAAGGGACACTTTAAAAATATAACATTCAATTATGGTGTTGTAATTAGTAATTAAACTTTCATCACTAAGATTTTATAAGTTTTTTAGTTTATACGTTTTTAAAATAGCTAAAATATTGGGATTCGTCTAAAATCGGGTATTTTTAATCTGATATATCACTTAAAAAAATCTCAAATTTTATTGGGTTCTTCACTGAAACTTTGTAAATTATTTATAAAAATAGTTAAAATTTCAGAAAGCTTTATGAAATTTTAACTATTTTTATAAATAATTTACATCAGTGAAGAACCTAATAAAATTTGACACAGCTGTATTATATTGTTGCAGTAAACATTTCAAAAAAACACATCGTTATTTTTATTTACATATTATTCCTTTATTTTATTATTTTATTTATTTTTTATTTTATTATTTTAATGTGCTTCCAACAGGCACCAGGCCCAATTACAGGAGTACACTGACACAATAAATACTTATTACAACACAATAAAAAAATGTTTTCTGGAAATTTTTGATTTTTAAAGTGTTTCCCTCCTGAGATATTTCAGCTTGAAAATACCCGATTTTAATCGAATCAAATATTTAAGATATTTTTTAAATGTCCAACTAAAAAATTAATAATGTCTCAGTAATACAATTTTAACCACTTATTCAAATTTAACCACTTATTGACACAATAAAATAATTTTTTTTTAATATTTTGGTTTTTTAAAGTGTGTCCCTCCTAAGACATTTAAGATTAAAAATACCTGAATTTATATGAATTGCAATATTATAAGGCCTAAAACTTTTATCTGCTCACTTCAAATTAGTATTATATAAAGACTAAATTCAGAATTTTTTTTATTGGTTTTAGACAAATCGCAATATTTGAAGACCCTTTAAAAAAAAAAGCAAATCCAAGGCCTAAAACTTTACAGGGGACTATCTAGTATACTATAAAGACTATCCAGAAAAAATATTTAAGGTGAGTCTTAGTTTTATCATTTTTAATTTTGAAAAAGGAAATTTTATTTCGAAAACGTTAACATTAAATGTTAAAGTTAATAAAAATGTTAAAGTAGATAAATTTTATCTACTTTTTTGTTGCAACACTATTTTGAATACGAAGCGTTTCCGAAAATTGGTTAATAGGATTTTTTTTCTTTTTAAATGCAAGGAATCTTATTCTGATTTTTTTCTTGATATTAATGAATCATCCTGAAGATAATATATAAATTTGGTTGAACTGCCCAAGAAGTGTGCTAGAGTAAACACGATTAGAGAAATACATGTGGGTGAATCTCACGAAATGCCCCCGATGGTGTTACCCCGTGATATTTAATAAAACTAAATGAGTTTGACCTACACTTTTATTGTGTTTTGATCTTTCATAATTAAGTAGCTCAGGTTCCAGATTTTTAACCGCAATTAATTATTTTTTACAATGTTTTAAAAGTCTAAAACCTATCCTCCGTGACTGCACTCTTTCTAGGTTAACCTATATGTTTTCAAATATCTGAGGTAGTAAAAGCAAACTAAAAATATCAGTTCACTAAGTAAATTAAACACATTCAAAGCAATCGAATCAAATATAAAATATTAAAAATTAAAAGAAATAATTTTTATAACCATTTATGTGGGTGTTACAAAAATTGATTCTATCCTCCGTGAATCTCTTTTTGCTTTAAATTTTATGCAACGCATGGTGCTTTAATCATTTTAAATAAGCAAAAACCTCTGTTTACGACATTATAGATGCATGTGGTCAGTTAGAATTTATATGCAGATGAGAGTGTTGCTGTTTTATAATTCAAAAGTTTAAGTTCAATAATTTGCTATTTAAAAACCTATCCACCGTGAAGTGTAATATCTCAGTAAGTAGATTTTTTTATAAATTTTTTATGTATGTACATTTGTATTTTAAAAATATAAGGGTGTCAAACTTATTTCAAATATACAAAGGGATGTTTAAAAAAACATACGCAATCCTAACCTCCGTGAAGCTATCTTCCGTGAAGCTCTAATATTCAAAATGTATGATTTCTTAAAATTCTTGCATTAGTGCAGAACCACTTATGTTATATTATTACTAGACCTGGTGGCTTCCCAAAAACCCCATTCTAGACTAACAGTGAAACAATCAAAAATAAAAAATAATCCCATGTACGTCTCAGAGCACAGACATGGAAATTGCCGGATGAGTCCTTTATTTAAAATTTTACGGGTGGTCCTTAGTCACTAAGTGACTAGTGACTAAGAAAAATAGATCAAACGCTCTAACGTTTGATCTATTATTCAATATATTACTCCACTGGCAGCATTTGTTTGCGCAGGCTAAGTGATGACGTACATGTATAATCGTATTCACTCTACACCTTTTCCAATTATATTTCAAAAAGAGTCAAATGTATTTTAAAATGCGTTAATGGTATTTCAGAAAGCATAAAATGTATTTCAGAAAGCGTCAAATGTATTTCAGAAACCGTTAAATGTATTTCAAAATAGTCAAATCCAGTATTAGAAATTACTTAGAAGGTAAATTGTTCACCATAAAAGTTTTTTTGTGGATTTTCTTAAGTTGTCTTTAAGTTTATTTAATATATAAAATATTATTTAAAATAATTATTTAACACAATTTCAGACTTTTAGGTTATAAACCTCTATCGCTAGTAGCGCCACCACTCGGCTGTTATCATCGTAACAAAAGTAGAACTTTTAATAATCAGCTGTCAAACGCTTATGTTACAAACGAGTGTTTTTGAGGATAATGTTAAAAAATATCGAAAAAAAAACTTGGATCGATTTGTTGTGATGTTGGGTGTATTTCGAGAGGAAATCCTGGGTTAAATTTTTACCGGTTTTCCAATAAACAGTGTTAATCTGAAAGAAGAAATAAATTGCGTACAGTCTCTGTAAATATAAATTGTACCTATTAGATACAATACATACACATTTTAGTAGTGATTAACGTGAAAAGGCAAAACATTTCAATTCAGAAAAAATTGTCAAACAAATAAGTCGTCTAAATTTAAACAGCATTTAGCATTATTAAAAGCGTTGATTAAGAAAGTCTCCACTCAACGGTAAAATGCCATTATGTTATGTATTATTTATAATATTATGTTGCCATGAATTGGTAGGTATATTTGGTTGTTTAAAATGCAGTTGTCTGCGTTTTTTTAGAGAACTCAAATAAAAAAATGGTTGATTTTAAGGTTATGTTTTTACAAAAACTACTTTTTACTATTTTCTTAAAAATGTCCAAATTTATATATAAATTATATTAGGTAAAGTTATCATTAGTTAATTCTGCACCAACAAATGTATTTACCGAATTGGATCCTTGACAAAACATGAAAATGCAACAATTTAGTTCTTGAATTTTATTTACAATTAAAAACACAATAATTCACCATGATCCCTTAGATAAAATACACACACTAACGTAACTATATAAGCATTTAAGCGTTGAGTTTCTTAAACAATGATATAAAGAATAATCAATCGAAATCGAGTACTAAAAAAGTTTTTTATTTTTTTTCTTGCAAGTTGCAACGTAAAACACAAATAACGTGCGCGATTTTGATGTGCAATTGAACAAAATTTGCCGAGTAAGACTTCTGCCTTCCTCCCTTTTGTGAAAAAACTACCTATTTATTTAAAAATGATGTATAATCTGTGCTTTAAATGTATTGTTGACAATTCTTAAATTCACGCAATGCTATCGAAGTCCACAAGATGGCGCGCGCCTTGCGAAAACCCGATACTTCTTTAGCGTATAAACCTCTCTGCCCCATGAAACATTTATCGCTGTTCAGAAAGATTCAAGGTCAAGCCTTTAAACATACGTGAAACAGAATAGCCTAGCATAGGTGATGTTTGGGTTGTCGTTGGGTGAACATACATGTTAATAAATCGATGTTTATGAACAGCAAGAAAGGGAATAGGGCTCTTAATCGTTGCTTATTAAATTTAATAACCTTAAAATATATAATTTTATGTATACAGGGTGAGTTTTAAGTTGACGCGTTCCTTTTAACAGTGTGTAGAAATCAGCTAGACAAATAAATATTTTAAGTAACTTTTTTATTAAAACTCAAAAATAAAAAAGTTATAGCCCATCAAAGTTTAATTAAATTTAAAGCCGGTCCTGGCTATTGTTAACGAAAAACATAACCATAAAAAATCAAAATAAACAATGCAAAATGTCATATTTGACAACAAACATAACCATTTAAATCAAATTGACATTTTGCAATAAAAAATGTCATTATTTACCTAAGTTGCAGCATTTGCATTTTGACGACACTCTCCATAAATTAGTAACATTTCCACTAATTCATTATTGTTATAACAGGGTACCACTCACCTGGAAAACAGGGAAAACCTGGAAATGTCAGGGAAATTAAATATTAGTAAAAAAGTCAGGGAAAAGTCAGGGAATTTGCTGAATTTTACGAAAAGTCAGGGAATTTAACCAATTTTTACGAAAAGTCAGGGAATTTAACTAATTTTTCTTGATTTTTCCGAAAATTGTTTCTATTTTTATTACCGGCCGAAGATTATTTTTTACAAATAATATAGCCGGGAATTGAAACTAAAATAAATCATTTGCGCAAATACTTATAAAATGTATGACCTTATAAACTAAGTTTGTTTCCTTTCAAAGTTTTTATGAATGTTCTGTTTAATTTTTTTATTATATTTTAAGAAATGTTAAAAAAAATTGTAAAAAGAAAAATAAAATATATTTTTACTTTACATGTACTATGCTCCACACCTCAAATTCCCACCACGTGACCACGTACGGAACGCAGTCTTTTGAAAATTTGGCATTTAAGGCTTTTCAGGTTATGTATCTGTCAAAGTATAGTCAACGAAAGAAATAATATTATGTTTAGGCGTTAAAAATGTATAAATCTTTATAACATTAGAATAACAATGGATGGTTTAAGAATTTAAGAATATAAATACTGCATTTAATGAAATTCCAAAGTGTATGGTGCCAAATAAGTAATATTTTTGTGCATTTGGTCCAAATATCTGGTTTTCTCCATGAAATAATTTTAACTAAACAGCATTTATTTAAAAAAATCTAGCTTCTCTATTATGGAATAAGAATATCTGTATTAAAGGTAGGTTAATATATTATAACAAAAATATCATCTAATTTTGTAATTTTAAGGTTAGAAAAATTTATTTTGACCAAAATAAATAAGTATTTTGGATTATTTAAAAGACTGTATAATATGGTATTTAAAAATGTAGTAGTTTTTCTTATCCAGCTTAAAGTGTACCTACATAAAGTTTTGTCAATACAAATAGTTAAAAAGCTTCGACTGAATTTGATCTACATCAAAAAATCATTATAACTTTAAAAATTTTAATAAATCAAATGTCATGGGAGTATTAAATATTTTCACATTGCAAGTTTCTCTAAAAATTGTTTGTTTTTTTATAATCTACATAACTTAAAGTAGGTATGCCGAGAGGTATGCACAAGTTTTGTCATTAGAAGTATAAGAGCTTCATTTTAATTTGAACCATATTCAACAATTATTTAGTATACCTATATTTATTTATGACAAAATTAACACACTCTTCCAAATAATCCACTTATTTATTTTGGTCAAAATAGATTTTTCTAACCTTAAAATACAAAATTAGATGAAATTTTTTGTTCTAATACATTAACCTACCTTTCATATATCAAATACAGATATTCTTATTTCATAATAGAGAAGTTAGATTTTTTATTTAATAAATTCTGTTTAGTTAAAACTATTTTAGGGAGAAATGTAGACCCAATGCACAAAAATATCACTTATATTGCACCTTACACTTTGGAATTTCATTAAATGCAGTATTTATATTCGTAAATTCTTAAACCAACCATGTTATTGTGATACTATAAAGATTTATTAACTTTTAACGCTTAAACATAAGCGGTATCACTATAAATATGATTTCTTTCATTGACTATACTTTTACAGATACATAACCTGAAAAGCCTTAAATGCCAAATTTTCAAAAGACTGCGTTCCGTACTTGGCCACGTGGTGGGACTTTGAGGTGTGGAGCATAGTACCTATAATTATTGCTGGAAATTGATGAAAATTGGTCTGGAAAACCTGGAAAAGTCAGGGAATTTTGTTTCATTTTCTTGGTGGGAACCCTGTATAATTATGAACCATTTTTAACAATAATTAAGGCACAAAAAAACTGACATTTTTCATTGCTAAATGTCATTTTGATTTAAATGGTTATGTTTGTTGTCATAGATGACATTTTGGATTGTTTATTTTGTAATTTTTATTTTTATGGTTATGTTTTTTGTTAACAATAGCCAGGACCGGCTCAAAATTTAATTAAACTTGGAAGGCCTATAACTCTCTTATTTTTAGAGTTGTGATAAAAAAGTTACTTAAAATATTTATTTGTTTATCTGATTTCTACACGCTGTTAAAAGGAACGCGTCAACTTAAAACTCACCCTGTATTAAATTTTACAATTCTTATTCATTAAAGCGAAAAATAAAAACGTTATATAAATTAAAACACGTCGAAAATCTCCTTGAAATACATAATATTATTTTGTTGCAGAATCTGGCCAGCAGTATTAAGACAAGCCACCTACGGTACAATCAAGTTCGGTACTTATTATTCGTTGAAAAGTATTATTTTGGAGCACAAAAATGGAAAGGAGAGCGTGACGGTGAACATTGTTTGCGCGGTGATCGCGGGCGCAGTGTCCAGCGCCATCGCCAACCCCACAGACGTTCTAAAAGTGCGCATGCAGGTGCAGGGCGCCAGCGCGAACATTGGTCTTGTCGATTGTTTTAAAGACGTCTACACTCATGAGGGAATCTCGGGCCTTTGGAGGGTAAGAAATTACTGATACAGTACATGTTAAGCTGGGTTGTTACGGAAAATTAATTTTTACTTTACTTTATTTCAAGGTTAGTTCATACTAACCTATCCCAAGCAGCATTTTAAGTTTAAATAACTACAACTTTACTACTAAGTCAACTTTAAAGTATTTTTTACGGTTAATTAAAACGGTTTTATAACGGTATAGATACGAAAAATTACCAAATTTGGGGAATGGTTTATTTCGTTATTTTACCTACATAATAACCTTTTGGATCTACTAAGAGAATAACGTAATAAAAACAATATAAATACTAAAATTTACGTAAAAATAACGTTATAATTACTAACTGTTTGCTCTCTCTTTCAAAAACATTGACATTCGTAATTTCTTTGTTCTTTTAATTTATATTTTACAAAATGGTACTTGTGTACAAAGTAATAAAGGTTACCCTAGAGTAAAATTATTAAATATAACTTAAATTGTCAAAACTAATAATATTTTGCATTAAAACTCAAGCGCACATTATTTTATTGATAAAAATAGGCAGGATACATCTTTAAATTACATACCCTCTAAATATTTTACAGTTTTAAGAAAAATTATTGCTTGGGTAAAAATTCAACAAAACTTAAAACCTACAAAATTTTATAAAATCTTTTAAAAATTATTTAGTTTTAATCATTTTTTAATAACTAAAACTTTCTTTATTATATTTTAGAAAAAATATTTATGAAAAAATATCATATAAATGTTTAGATAAGTAATGGATGCCATCTTAAAAAATTCATTATGGCGACCTGAAAAAAATGTTCCCTGAAAGCTTTATTTTTCACTTTAAGCTTATTTTTCCTTGTTTAGTCAATATTAAAAGTATTTATTACCACTAATAACCCTAAAAAATACAAGACGAATAGTAATTATTTACGGTTATAAAGTGGTTTTAATATCGTAAAATTATGACTTATGAGTAACATTTACCATTATGTAAAAATTATGACGTTAAAATTACCGTTAAATTTTCCTTTAGGTGAAATACACTTATAAGTAATTTTCTTTCGTAAAAAATACGTCCCTCATACTACTTTAAAGTGTTGAAACTTAAGGGTTATTAAAATAGGTAAAAATAACATAAATAAAACTTATTAAATAACTTTAAAAAAAGTTTTACTTTAAAGTAAATTTTTAAAGTTAATTTAACAAAATATTTACTTAAATTAAGTAATATTGCCTCAAAGCTCTACACTTTTACTTAAAATGCTGCTTGGGATACAATTTTTATTTTTATAATTCGCGAATTAATATGAATTAATTCTTGCCAACCCTGATACAAACGTGCATATAAACCTTTCAAAGATTGGCGGTAAGAAACTGTTTGATAATTTTATATTTTTGTATTGAGATAATAAAATATTTTTTCTACTTCCCCCAACGCCCTTTATCGTACATGTTTCCATGACACTAAGTGACCTTTTAAATACACATTGACAAGTTGTGGCTTTAGGGCGCTTTAGTCACGGGCTGAAGTTAGCAACAGGTTTTTAGTCACGGGCTGAAGTTAGTTTTAAGTTAGTTGACAGTTGTCAAGTGTCATACAATCGTTAAAATAAAGGGCCTTTCTTGTAAAATAATACTAAATGTGAAAATTATTTTATTATCTCAATACAAAAATATTAAATAGTTTCTCAACGCCAATATTTGAAAAGTTTATATGAACATTGTATTGACCTTTTAATTTCGCCGGCAGTAAACTATAACTTAAATTCAGGCACGGACTCCACTGTAAAGTGCTCATAAAACATTTTCTTTACTTTCACTATGAAAAACTGTCAATTTTCAAGAAATGCATTTCGATTTATAACCTTTATAATCTGTGTTTATAAAATATAAAAATGTGACATTTAACGGTGACACACAGATTCCCCTATTGTTTCATAGATGGCGCTCTATAAAAATTTTTGATTTAAATCATTTTAAGATAATAATAAGTATTTGTCGTAGAAAAAGTATAGTATGCACCTCGTTTATAAACTTTTCTATACACTCAATAATTTAAGCACTCGCTCACAAGCTCGCTCGTGCCTAAATTAAATTTGTGTATTAAATGGCGTTTATCAAACTTGATACATAATATACTATTATATAATTTCCACATTTAGAGTAGTTTATTTTGACGATTTTATGACATTTGATAACTCACTAATGAGCGTTTTAAAGGTGGGAGTGAAAAAATATTATATTTTGCACCTACAGAACGAATAAAAAAGCACTTACACTATATTTAGTGCAATATGTCTTAAAATTGAAATTTGGAAAAGGCGTTTTAACATGGTGTTGAGGTTATTTAGCCAAATTTTACTGCTTAAACAATTTTACAATCAATCATAATAATTATTAGTAATGATTTATTACATTAATTATTAAATGGTCAGTTACATTAAATTACTAATTATCCTTATATTGTATTAAAAGAGATTTTGTGTATGTGATAAAATAATGTATTGTTTGTAAATGTTTTAAAAGCAGAGGCAAATAAATAATAGTATATTATGTAGAAGTTAATGAGTGTATAGAAAAGTTTATAAACGAGGTGCATACTATACTTTTTCTATGACAAATACTTATTATTTTCTTAAAATGATTTAAATCAAAAAATTTTATAGAGCGCCATCTATGAAACAACATTGGAAACTGTCAAGTGTCACATTTTTACATTTTATAAACACAATTATGAAGGTTATAAATCGAAATGTATATTGAAAATTGATAGTTTTTCACAGTGAAAGTAAAGGAAATGTTTTATGAGGACTTTACAGTAGAGTCCGTGCCCGAATTTAAGTTATAGTTTACTGCCGGCGAAATTAAAAGGTCAGTATAATGTTCATATAAACTTTTCAAATATTGGCGTTGAGAAACTATTTAATATTTTTGTATTTTTGTATTGAGATTATAAAATAATTTTCACATTTAGTATTATTTTACAAGAAAGGCACTTTATTTTAACGATTGTATGACATTTGACAACTGTCAACTAACTTAAAACTAACTTCAGCCCGTGACTAAAAACCTGTTGCTAACTTCAGCCCGTGACTAAAGCGCCATAAAGCCACAACTTGTCAATGTGTATTTAAAAGGTCACTTAGTGTCATGGAAACATGTACGATAAAGGGCGTTTTAAAGGTGGGAGTAGAAAAAAATAATTATTAACATTAGTTAGTAAGTCAACATAAAATCTGCAAAAAATGTGTAAGTGGTTACATAATAAATCGAAACAATGCATTGTTTCGATTTATTATGTAACCACTTACACATTTTTTGCAGATTTTATGTTGACTTACTAACTAATGTTAATAATTATTTTTTTCTGCAATGGATGTATTAATGCTACACCTAAGTTTATCCTCCTTGTGATTGATTTTTCCTTAAAATTATTCAAGGACTGAGCATATTTAAAAAATACCGTTGGAAAATATTGTAATAAACTAATCTAGCATGCAATGCAATGTAATCTTGGTTATAGTTTATAAAGGGACTTCTATCACGACATATCCAAAGCAATTAATCGATTTTTATAAAGCAAATTAAATTCATTGAAAACTGTAATCTTGCTTAACTTTTTTTCTTGTCTTGATATTATTTTTTTGGTAGAAAAAAATAAAAATTTTGAAAATATCAAATCAATATTTTAATTTCTAAAGGTCGCTAAAAGTACGTTGGTATTTATATTCAGAGGTCGCTCGAAAACATTCAAAATACTCTACTTTGAAAGTTAAAAAAATCTTGAGCGACCTTTAGAAATCAAAATATTCATTTGAAATTTTCAGAATCATTATTATTTTTAAATTAAAAAATAATATCGGAACGAGAAAAAAAATTAAAATAAAAAAAAAATCCAATTTTTGACGAATTTGGAAATTTTTAAAAATCTTGAGCGACCCCTAAAAAATTTTTAATGGAGCTGATCTGTTGACAGGGCTCTTAAAACATGACAAACCAACATATTTTCACAAGAGACAAGAGAAAAAAATATTCTTATTTTTTTGGGCCACCCTAATATATATATATATATATATATATATATATATATATATATATCTAGTTTATAAAGAGACTATATTTACTACATATTTAAAACAATTAACCGATTTTTGCAGAACAATTTACCACTAAAAACCAACGGTTGTATTTTTAAAAAAATTGCTTGACAATTTAAAATATTTAAGTGCTATTTTTAGGGTGTTAATCCAACTGCCCAAAGAGCAGCAGTGATTGCTGCAGTGGAACTTCCAGTATATGATTTTTGCAAGGGTCGTTTGTTAAGTATCCTTGGTGACAATCCATCTAATCACTTTTTGTAAGTATAATTAACTACAGAAGAAACAAAACTTTTAACTGTAGAAGAAACATAAATTACTTTAAAACGATCAGATCCTTAAAAAAATAGCTTTAAATCGTTTTTGACTACTTCTCAGGCTACAATACATAAATATAATTTGTTGACGTTAATAAATTTGTACTTAAATATTATGTTAATTAAACGCATTAATTACACAGTGCAACAGTGCAAAAGGGAATGGGATGAAACCAAAAGCAAATGAAAGGTAATAGCTTCTACAAAAAAACCCTATGAGGTTTTTTTTAGATCACGTCTCAGTTTTTTATTATACGCATTTAAAGTTGGTAGATTTTTGGACACCCTATAATAGAAAAAAAATAAGTAAAACAATTTTAATTTTTTTAAATTATTCTGGCAATATAGTCGAGGAATCCATTCCAAGTAAAGAGCATTTTTACTAGAAAATTGGGCATGTTTATAAAAAAAAATATTCTCTTTCATGCTTTAATCAAAACACAATACTTGTATACAAAAACTACATTTTTTTGTGGTAATATATTGTAATATATCGATGGTATTTTTGCAAAAGGGCGAATATGCCATTTTCCTGTTTTGATAAAAACAAAAAAAAAGTATTTCGGCGTATTCGCCCTTTTGAAAAAATGTTATTACTACAAAAAATTGCAGTTTTTGTAGCAAAAACGAGGTTGTTTAAAGGTAAAATTGATTTGACTATATTGATACATAATATTATGTACATACTATATAGTAAATCAGTGACAGCAACATAAAACGTTTTTCTTAATTAATATATTTCATTAAATTATTTTTTTTATTTAAAGGACAATATAATATAAAACAAAACCTAGTTCCAAAATATAAAAATGTAAAAAATTGTACCTACAATATTACGGTATACATATAATTGAATATGTTGAAAATTTGCAGAACTTCTAATAACAATTTAATTAAATGATCACAAAAGAAAAATAAGTCAATGAAATTTGGTGTTCCAATGTTGTGGTATAATTCAGGTATTTTTTTATTTTTATACTAAAACATGGTATTTTTGATTATATTAATTATATTTTGCATTTTTATCAATTTTTGGATGAACAGCTGGAACTTCTGGTACTTAAACTCGTGTTACTGCGGGTTACAGCAGTGATAGTTTTTAAATAGCAAATTTAATAATGTTTAGTTAAGAAGTAAAAATGCTATTTTTTCTTAAAAAAACAAATTTTCTATACTAATAAATCCAAAATATAAAAAATTGCTTTCGAATATCACCTAGGGTATATTTTACAACAAACGGATGACAAAAATGGATTTCTTACCTTCAAAAATAGTAAAAATTAGTAACAATTTTTTGATAGCGTCCTCTTCTGAAGGTCTTTGGTAAAAATTAACATCACAAATGGATTCCTCGATCAAATTGACAAAATTATTTTGAATAATTAACATAGTTTTACTTTTTTCCTATAGGGTGTCAAAAAATTTACCATCTTTAAATGCGTACAAAAAAAAACTGAGACGTGATATAAAAAAACCCTGATAGGGTTTTCTTGTGGAAAGTATTAACTTTCATTTGCTTTTGGTTTTATTCCATTCCCTTTCGCAAACCTTAATTTTGTATCACAGTGTTATTAGTGTCTAAAACAAATTGTATTAAGTATTGCCGTATTAATAATAATGTTCTTAAATTTTTATGATTTATAATAAAAAAATATTTTTATTTATTTATTTTAGATCTAGTCTTTGTGCGAGTTTCGGTAGTGCAGTAGCTTCAACACCAATTGATGTTGTGAGGGTAAGAATATATTTATATACAAAAAGACACATATATACAAAAAGACACATATATACAAAAAGACATACAGTATTTAAATGTTAAGCAAAGATGATAAGTGATATTAACAAAAAAACTAACAAACAAGCTAACAAAATTATTTTTAATTTCAACATACTTAATTATAATTCCTAAAATTGACCGTAAAAGTGCGTTTTCAAATTACTTGCTTATTCACGATTATTAAATAATTTTTAACCAATTTTGAACTTTTAAACGTTATTAAACTGACAATGTTATATTAAAAATTTTTTGCCATACAAACACATGTTTTAAAATTTGTCACCCAAACAAGGCTTTTTAACAATAATGAAAAATACAGGATGTTTAAAATAAAAATTAAATGATTCGAGGGGGGAAACCAATCAGTACTAAAATTGGTCCTCATACTCTCTTCCTAATAGGGGGAACAGGGGGTAACTTTAAAATTTCCAATGGACACCCTATTTTTTATTGCAGATTTGGATTTAAAAATAGGTAGATTTTGTGTAAAACATTTTTTCATATTTTTAATAGATGGCCCTGTAATGAAAAAAAATCAATTTTGTTCGATTTTTCTTCTGTAAACGATTTTCCAATAGTTTTTGAATAAAATACTTGGTTTTATTTTTTAAATTTATTTATTTATAAATTTTAATTAAAGTAGGTACTCAAAGTGGTTGCCTTCGACTTCAATGCATTTATAAATTCGCATTTCGATTTAATATTCACTAATAACACTCCTCTGGGATATTCCCAAATGTCTAGATAATTCTCGTGAGCTTGCATGAGGATTAGCGGCCGTTGCTGCTAATACATTAATTTCATTACTTCCACCTGTGACTGTTTCTTAACGAATTTTTTTTTCGGTTGAAAACTCCCTTTTGTAGTAAACTGCATCTAAATTGATTAAATAATGCTAAACTATAAATAGTTTCTTTATACCTCAATAATAATTATTTTTTATAACTAAATACCATATTTTATACCTCAATTAGGATTAAATTAATTAATTGTCAAAATAATGTTTTTTACCTTAAATGAGGTTGTTTTTATTAAAAATAGTACAATAATTCTTTAAATTAAAGGATTTCATGCTGGCAGGTAAAAAGTGACCATGGTGCGCAATTGATAATTATCACCGAATGAAATAATGTATAAAACTTAAACCAAAGGAAACTTAAATATTAGTTAAAAAATCGTGGGTACTAAAAAAATCAGATTTAATTTATTAAGATAATTATTACCAAAAAAAGTGATATTTTTATAGAAAAATTATTGCAGAATCGTATACAGAAGAAAAATTGAACAAAATTGATTTTTTTCATTACAGCGCCATTTTTAGTCGAATGATCCGAATCTGCAATAAAAAATAGGGTGTTCCATTGGAAATTTTAAAGTTATCACCTGTTCCCCCTATAAGGAGGAGAGTATGAGGACCAATTTTAGTGCTGATTGATTTCCCCCCTCGAATCATTTAATTTTTATTTAAATTTTTTTTTTGTAAAATGCATACTAACTGAGATATTTCAAAGTTTCAAGTTAAATGACTTACCCTGTATATATATATATATATATCCTATGGTTCAATAAAGCATTATTTTAGAAATGGGATTTTAGGTTGCCAAATTGATAAAATAGCTATTTACCTAGGTAGTTTTTTCTTATTTACGGTGAGAAAATTCTTAAATTAGGTACGCACTTTTTTTAGGTGGTAAAATTATTATTGTATAAAATTGTATTGAACAAGATGATTTGAGAAATTAAAATACACTCACGTGCAAAATAATCGATCCACACAAATTTTCGATGAATTTCAATCGCAAATAACTTTTTTATTTGATGTCGGATTTAAACGAATATTAAAGAATATTGTAGATAAGTTAATGGACAATCGCTCACATTTAAAAAAAATACTAAAAAATAGACGTACTATGCTCCACACCTCAAAGTCCCACCACGTGACCAAGTACGGAACGCAGTCTTTTGAAAATTTGGCATTTAAGGCTTTTCAGGTTATGTATCTGTCAAAGTATAGTCAATGAAAGAAATCATATTTATAGTGTTACCGCTTATGTTTAAGCGTTAAAAGTTAATAAATCTTTATAGTATCACAATAACATGGTTGGTATAAGAATTTACGAATATAAATACTGCATTTAATGAAATTCCAAAGTGTAAGGTGCAATATAAGTGATATTTTTGTGCATTGGGTCTACATTTCTCCATAAAATAGTTTTAACTAAACAGAATTTATTAAAAAAAAAATCTAACTTCTCTATTATGAAATAAGAATATCTGTATTTGATATATCAAAGGTAGGTTAATGTATTAGAACAAAAAATTTTATCTAATTTTGTATTTTAAGGTTAGAAAAATCTATTTTGACCAAAATAAATAAGTGGATTATTTGAAAGAATGTGTTAATTTGGTCATAAATAAATATAGGTATACTAAATAATTGTTGAATATGGTTCAAATTAAAATGAAGCTCTTATACTTGTAATGACAAAACTTGTGCATACCTCTCGGCATACCTACTTTAAGTTATGTAGATTATAAGAAAACAAACAATTTTTAGAGAAACTTGCAATGTGAAAATATTTAATACTCCCATGACATGTGATTTATTAAAATTTTTAAAGTTATAATGATTTTTTGATGTAGATTAAATTCAGTCGAAGCTTTTTAACTATTTGTATTGACAAAACTTCATGTAGGTACACGTTAAGCTGGATAAGAAAAACTACCACATTTTTAAATACCATATTATACACAGAGCTGGGAAAGTTACTTCTGAAAAGTATCTAGTTACTTTTCTAAGATACTTTAAACAAAATAACTTAGTTACCTCTGGTAACTAGATACTTTGAGTTAAAAGTATCTTTAGTTACAAGATACTTTAAAAAGTATCTAAGATACTTTTGAGTAAATAAGATACTTTTAAGTAACTAAGATACTTTTAAGTAACTAAGTTACTTTTAACTTAAAAGTTTGAATAAAAACTATAAAATTATAAAAATTCAACAAGTTGTAGGTTAGGTAATTACTTTGAATCATTCTGGAATTCCCTCAATTTTCTCTAAGAAAGTATCTAAGTTACATTGAAAAGTATCTAAGTTACTTTAAAAAGTATCTTGGTTACTTTAAAGTATCTAAGTTACTTGAATGTATCTTAGTTACATTACCGAGTAACTTAGATACTTTTTAAGATACAAGTTACAAGATACTTTTCCAAAGTAACTATGTTAAAGATACTTTCTGTCCAATATAAAAAGTATCTAAGATAAAGTATCTTAGATACTTTAATTATCTAAGTTACTTTTAAGTATCTTTTTTTTAAGATACTCCCAGCTCTATAATGTATAATTTATACAGTCTTTTAAATAATCCAAAATACTTATTTATTTTTTTAAATAAATGCTGTTTAGTTAAAATTATTTCATGGAGAAAACCAGATATTTGGACCAAATGCACAAAAATATTTCTTATTTGGCACCATACACTTTCATTTCAATTTCATTAAATGCAGTATTTACTTATATTCTTAAATTCTTAAACCATCCATTGTTATTCTAATGTTATAAAGATTTATACATTTTTAACGCATAAACATAATATTATTTCTTTCGTTGACTATACTTTGACAGATACATAACCTGAAAAGCCTTAAATGCCAAATTTTCAAAAGACTGCGTTCCGTACGTGGTCACGTGGTGGGAATTTGAGGTGTGGAGCATAGTACGTTTATAATATACAGGTTTAAACAAAAAGATGTTTTTTACCATAAGTTTAAGACACTCTGTAGAGTGGCAAAACCGTATATTGTTCTAAATTAAGTTTTATTAATGAAGTCACATCTATTCTTAACAGTTTTGTTTTTGGTTCACCTCGATATATTTATTTTTGTGGAAAATATGGATTTTTTTAAAAAACATTGCAATTTCCAATATTTTTCTGTATGAAGAACTAAGGTTGCTATGGTCCATCCATAGGCTATGGAGAATGACAATGACAGTTTTGTTGATTCATCCCATACTTGGACCTGTCATACACGGCTTTCAAAAGCTATCAAATTGTTTTTTGCAAATTAATGTTTAAATTTTGAGGTGTCTTCTTAGTTTTAAAAATGCCAGAGCTATTAATTTAATCCAGGATGGACGGTCACAGTATTACGTGGCAAGTGTTTTAAACGTCATAAGAAGTAAAGTACAAAGGGCAACATCAGTCGGAGACATTTTTAAAAGTAAGAAGACACCTCAAAATTAACACATTAACTTACAAAAAACAATTTAATAGCTTTTGAAAGCTGTATATGACATGTCCAAGTATGGGATGATTCAACAAAACTGTCACTGTCATCCTCCATAGGCTATGGATGGACCATAGCAACCTTAGTTCTTCATACAGAAAAATATTGGAAATTGCAATGTTTTTTAAAAAAATCCATATTTTCCACAAAAATAAATATATCGAGGTGAACCAAAAACAAAACTGTTAAGAATAATAAAACTTAATTTAGAACAATATACGGTTTTGCCACTCTACAGAGTGTCTTAAACTTATGGTAAAAAACATCTTTTTGTTTAAACCTGTATATTATAAACGTACGTCTATTTTTAGTATTTTTTTAAAATGTGAGCGATTGTCCATTAATTTATCTACAATATTCTTTAATATTTGTTTAAATCCGACATCAAATAAAAAAGTTATTTGCGATTGAAATTCATCGAAAATTTGTGTGGATCGATTATTTTGCACGTGAGTGTATTATCTTGTAAAAATATTGCAATACCATCGTAAATTTTATAATTCGGCGGCATATTTAAAATGTTTTTGTTAATAAGCATACAATTTCTGAAAATAACAAATTCACATCCATTATCTATCTAGAAATGTTTAAAAAATGCTTTCTCATAAAAAAGAACAAATTTGCCTGAATTTGTGAAAATACATGTTAATAAAACAATAAAGTGTACATATATCTTTTTATATATAATTTCCATATCTTTATATTTATTATATCTTCTATATAGTATATACATATGTATGTATATAAAAATTAATTGCCGTGCGTTAGTCCTGCAAAAACTCGGAAATGGCTCAACCGATTTAAATATTTTTTTTCTTTTGTTCGCCTTAATAAAGAGGTGATTTAAATAAAAAATACATTGGGAAAAACCGAAAGGAACACCCGGAAAATCGAAAATATCGAAATTCGTACAACTTTGAATTAATTTGTATAGATGACGTTCGTAGTTGCGCTTCAAATTAAATAACTATTAAACTCGGAAATAGCTCAACCGATTTAAATATTTTTTGTTTGTTTTGTTCGGTCATATTCCGTAATAGGAGTATAAAAAAATGTTTTATTTTTAAATGCCAACCTACCAGGTCTGAAATTGGCAATTTTATAACAAAACTTAATAAAAACTCTTTAATTTAAATTATGTATTTATTTTATATAGGTAACTATTATTTTGTTTCAGACGCGTTTGATGAATCAACGCAAACTAAAGAAATGCGGAGGATTGAATAATCAAACTCACATCTACACAGGAACAGCTGACTGTTTTATACAGACATTTAGAAACGAAGGTTTCTGGGCATTTTATAGAGGTTTTATACCCACCTGGTTCCGAATGGGACCATGGAATATTATTTTCTTTGTTACCTATGAACAATTGAAACACTTTTATTAACATTTTAACTTAGACAATTAAGCACCTGTTAGTTTTTATTATTTATTTAACCTTATACAAATTCTGTATATAATGTGTATAAATAGTATTTCAAATAAATGTTTTCAATTAATGTGTTGTTTTTCTTATAGGTTTATTTATTCTTAGTATAAATAATAAATAAAAGAAGGCCTTAAATCCTATTTCCTACTTTTGTAGAAATTACATGTTGATTTACAAGTTGATATACAGGGTTTTTCAAAAATGGCGCATTAAACCAAACCACATGACAGGGTAAATTTTCAAATATATAAAATTAAGGACATTTATAAAATTAATCGCTTTTTTATTTTGATATTTTTGAAAAATGACAAATTATAATGGCATTTTAAAAATAAAAATGTTAGTAACAAGTTATGATGATGCAGTTTTGATTTATTGACAAAAACTGACAAAAAATAGAACCTTTAATTCAGGCCAATTCACTAACAATAGTCGTTAACGGAAACGACTAAGATATAGACAACTCATGTTAGTGAATTGGCCTGATTATCTTCATTTTCATACAACCATAATTTGAGGGGTGTATTATCTTTGGGGTAAACTATTTAAGTTATTTAGACCTTTTGTCAAATTTTTTATACCATAGTGCACAATTTTTGGTAAATCCTGTATTAATTCAATATAAATTAGCCATCACAACAGAAACATAAAAAATCAAAACATTATTTAAACACTAAAACCTATAATAATTTTCCCACCAATTATAAAGGTTTTCCTAGTCTTCCTCCAAACTTTCTTTAGTTGGTGGTGGTTTATACATTTTTGAAAATGCCTTTCCTCTATGTGAATAAGTGTAAAATGATGGTACATTTCTAAAAGTTTCCCAAGAACGACTTTCCAACTCAGCTGAAGCCTTTATTTCCTTAAAATCGCCAGCAACTTGAAGTACACCATACATGATTACGAACAAACTAATCAGAGCTTGGATAAAAATCTAAAACCATATCTAAATGTATAAAAACGTTAACAAACAATAATTCGTAAACATTCTTACATCTAAAGGCAAGTGTGTGAAATCCAATTCATTTAATCTTAAATACGAGCGGTCTAAAATAAGTAAGGTTAAAATTTCCTCAGTAAAATTTTAACTGAAACTTACGTTGTGCTGCCGAAAATCCGGCGTGAGATAAAGATAAAAATCCAACACATAATATGAACCTATGAATAATTGTGGCTGGCATTTTGTTTTTGCCTAAAACAAATTCACAAGTTCACAAGAGCTGTCAATGACAATGACAATAAACGTAAACTTGGTTGCCTAAGAGAAGAATGTATCATTGGTTGCATATAAGCAAACAATTTGTTTTCCCCAGTCAAAATTGGGGTTTTTAACTAGCCAAAAAAATATTTAAAAAACAAATAAATCGCTTTTTAACGATCTATCAAAGGATCATTTATTATTAAAGAATCGTAGATAGGAGAAGAACCACATATTACTTAAAATAGGTAAAAATAAAATTAAAAAGCTGCACTTGTTGATAATATTTTGAAAATAATGTTTTAATTAATAGTAGGTATTTTATGTTTGAAGAAAAATTGTATTATAGTTTAATTAAAACAATAAAACAAAATCAGATTTGAACCCGTTGAGGAATTCCATTTAACTACCTGTTACCTTTCTATTAACAAAATGAATTAAGTTACGACAAGCAATTCAATTGAGTGGCATACGCACAAGGTGCGCTGTTAATTAAAGTATGTCTTAGCTCAAGTAGCCGTAGTCTTTGCTGTTCTTGTAAAAGGTGTGTGAACTAAAACAAATTTAAGGTTTCTGTGATAAATTCACGTGGATCATGTGTTTTTTATGACGTTTAATTTGTTAGGACTTTGTATTTATTTGTGTTTTAAGTTTGTGGATAATTAAATAGTTAAGGTAAGACATAATTTTCTGTGTGCATATTATGCACTGCATAATTGCTCAAGTATAACGGTGATTCAGAAGAAATTTGTATTTAATAATATTAGTTACTTTATACTTGTTAAACGTTATTTATTAATAATTTGTATGCACATATGTAAATAAAGTTATGACAGTTTTAAGTTGGGTAGGTATGATTAACTTTGTTTTGTTTGTTTTTTTCCTTAAAATTTGGTGACAGTTGACAGATTAATTTTGTTTTAAATGAGGGGCCTATGATTCAACAGGTACATAGGTTTATATTATGTATCAAGTTTTATAAAGGCCAATATAGTTTTATTAGGCTCGAGCGAAGCTTGCGAGCAAGTGTTTATTTATATTATAATAAAAACGAGTGTGAAGTTAAAACGGGTTGCATACCTACTATACTTTATCTATGACAAACACAAAGAAGAATTTAAAGTCAATTTTATGTGGTACACATTTGCCATGTCAACTTTAAACGGTTTTAACCTCACTTTCCCTAATTTATAATAAAGCTAACTTCAGCCCGTGACTAAAATGCCCAAAAGCCACTGTTATTAACTTCAGCCCGTGACTAAAACGCCATAAAGTCACAGCTAGTCAATGTAGGAGCAGATAATAGTATATTATGTATCAAGTTTGTTAAATGCCATTTTATACACAAACTTAATTTAGGCACGAGCGAGCTTGCGAGCGAGTGTTTAAATTAATGAGTGTATAAAAAAGTTTATAAACGAGGTGCATACTATACTTTTTCTACGACAAATACTTATTATTATCTTAAAATGATTTAAATCAAAAATTTGTATAGAGCGCCATCTATGAAACAATAGGGGAATCTGTGTGTCACCGTCAAATGTCAAATTTTTATATTTTATAAACACAGATAATAAATCGAAATGTTTATGAAAATTAACAGTTTTTCACAGTGAAAGTAAAGAAAATGCTTTATGAGCACTTTACAGTGCACGAATTTAAGTTATAGTTAGTTAACTGCCGGCGAAATTAAAAGGTCAGTACAATGTTCATATAAACTTTTCAAATATTGGCGTTGAGAAACTATTTAATACTTTTGTATTTTTGTATTGAGATAATAAAATAATTTTCACATTTAGTATTATTTTACAAGAAAGACACTTTATTTTAACGATTGTATGACATTTGACAACTGTTCAGCTAACTAACTTCAGCCCGTGACTAAAAACCTGTTGCTAACTTCAGCCCGTGACTAAAGCGCCATAAAGCCACAACTTGCCAATGTGTATTTAAAAGGTTACTTAGTGTCATGGAAACATGTACGATAATGGGCTTTTAAAGGTGGGAGTAGAAAAATAAATTTAACAGGACCGTCTTAAATAAATAAATATAAATAGGCTTAATATCCTTATAGAAACAACCAAAAGAGGAACCTTATATTTATATAAATTTAAAAAATATAGGTATATTTAATAAATAATCCAAATTATTCCCAAACTACCAGGATTAGATTTAAATCAGTTTAAATTGCATCTGTAAATAGGATAGTAAAATTATCTAATTTTTATGTATTTAGACCTAGCGAGGGGTGGTTCACTCTTTGAAGTAGGTGTACATTTTTGTCGAAGTACAGCCGAAGTATTCGAAGTACTTCCGAAGTATTTAAAGTACCTCCGAAGTACTAGAAGTTCCTCCGAAGTACTAGAAGTACCTTCGAAGTACTCGAAGTACATCGGGAGATTCTGCAGGATTTCGTGTGTTTACGTTTACGAATCCCTAGTAGAAATTTTACGTTTTTCCTTGGGAAAACCTAACTTTTTTGTATAATTTTATCTTGAAATGTCCTGGTTTATAACGTTATATGACAACGTTAGTTTCTGATGTTTTAAAAAACGTGGGATTTACGTATTATACAACGTTGGAAATATGTCGGATTTATGTATTATACAACGTTGGAAATTCGTGGGAATTGTGTATTATTACATTTTTTCGAGGTTAGAGTCAAAAGAACAACGTGTGCAATCGATTCTGAGAGATTATTTACATTCAATGCATCGAACATCATAAGAATCGACATGCCTCATCCCCAGGAACAGGAAATACTAATTTTTTCACGTTTTTTGAGGTTAGGTTGAAACGCGGACCTGAAGGATAAATTGTGACATCGGGTTCGGATTCAGCGCGTCAAAATCCATAGGAAAGCATATGTCGCATCCCCAGATCAAATAATAAAACAGTCGAATTAATAGATTTAAATTTAAAAAAAGTTCTGACCCACTCGGGTCTGTCGGTTGTCAAGCCCAATGAGCCATCAGCCACTTTCATTAAAATCAATTTTATTTGTCTATAAATATTGCTCATAATATTTTAAAGTTGATTATTTTTTTGTGTTGCTGTTTTGAGCTAAACTTTTTGCATCTTGATCTATCTCTTCCTAACTTTACGGGTCCGTTAAAACTTTTGCTCAGTTTGGTTGGTAGTTTGCCACGGTTTGGAAGAAAGTTTGAGTCAGATTTTAGCCAGTTGTTGCTAGGAAGGTTTTCTTTAAAACAACTAATTATTACTCCTTTGTGGTTTAGATATGACTGCACTCTTTTGTATCTTGTTTTGCAAAAGATTATCCATATTCCGCAGATGTAATTATTACACTTGTTATATGCTTTTTTCACTTAAGGCAGAAGTCCTCCCAAATACATCAGAATACTTTCCTCTGTATTTGCTGTATAAAGTGGTTTTGGGAACATCAAAGCAGGTAGCAACCTGCCCAAAAGATAAATGATTGTTTATCACCTCTGCCAGGGGTTGTATTCAATATTTTCTGGGTCATAATTTCTTTAATACACCGTTCCTGGAACATGTTTATGTTTTCTAGGCATCGTTTCTTATAACTTTATCCATGATATAGCATGGATTATAAAAAGCAACCTTTTAAAAAACAGTTAAAAAAATTGGGGAAACAAATTGTTTAGGTTACGTGTTATAAATAAATGTGCATATATGCCATGCATATATGTATTTGCCTTTTATGTTTTTTCCATCTCTCTCGGATAAAAATTACCTTATCGTTCAACTATATTTTCCCAAAAAACACTGGGCAGAATTTGCACAAAATTTGGCGGGATGTCAACACCACAGAACATACAACACTAACCTTAATAATAAAATAAACACTTTCCGTGATAGAGCGGTAAATTTAAATTTTTGCTCGTTTATATATATCACCAAACTGCAAAACTTGGTAAAATTTTATTTTTGATTGAAACTATTGATAAAAAAGAGTATTTTTTCTAAAATATATTTTTGGGCTTTATTTATTTATGTTTTTTAAGGTTTTGAACACATTATTACAACGTTTTTAGCAATACAATTTTCCAACGTAGTTTGAAAGTGGGTTTTGTGTATTCCGGCCGTATTTTTGATTTTATGACCATACATTTATTGCACAGTTTTATTTTACTTTTATATGTACCCAACTAATGTATTATAAAGGAGAAAAATTACAAAAAATCCACATTAAAAATGTTTACTTGGAACTTAAAAATGTTTAAAGCAGTTTGAATGTATGGTGGGAAACGTAAAAACACATTCAATAATTTGTCAACGGGACTATAAATGTTTAAATTAGTTTGAATGTATGGTTGGAAACGTTAACCTTATATATTTTAAAATACTTCTAGTACTCCGAGATACTTCTAGTACTCCGAGATACTTTAGTACTCCGAAATACTTCTGATACTTCGAAGTTACTTTTAATACTTCATGTACTTCGAAGTGCTTTGGGATTGCTACAAACGAGCTTCGAGCACTTTGTAATTGATAATATCGAACTTATAATATAAGTTCGATATTATCAATTACAAAGTACTTGAAGCTCGTTTGTAGCAATCCCAAAGCACTTCGAAGTACATGAAGTATTAAAAGTACCTTTGAAGTTTCAGAAGTATTTCGGAGTACTAGAAGTATCTCGGAGTACTAGAAGTATCTCGGAGTACTAGAAGTATTTTAAAATATATAAGGTACTTCGAAGTAGGTGTACATTTTTCGGCATGTGAACCACCCCTCGAGACCTAGTTAAAAATAAACAGCTTATACTTATAATAAATATTAATTAATATTTAAATAAAAAAAATAATTTATTTTAAATCACAGGCTCATGAGAGAATCTGCTTAGCTGCATTATATCATTGACACAAATTTACCTATTGTATTTTAACAAATTAATTTGTTGTTTTCATTATAAAATAAGTAAGATACAGAATGTGCGTGCAATTTTTTATCAAAATAATTTTTATTTTTTATTTATTGGAATTTTCAATAGGGATATTACCTAAAATTTTCCATCATTATCTAAAAACAATTTGGTTGTTGTAAACAAG